GAACACATACTGTTATGCAATATGTATAATATACAGCCCAAAGTAATTTTTTCCTGTGCCTTGCCTCAACTAAAAAAAAATTAACGAATCTGTTTAAGTTCTGGTCTATATACTAAAGGGAATCTTAACATTTGTTTAATCACTTCAAGAAGATTATCAACTCCACACTGAAACTTTCTGTACAAAGATATCATTATTATTTATGCTTCATAAAGTTGCATTTGTGCCTATAACTTACACAGGGTATGAAAGTTTCTAAGAAAAATATCCAGAAATATGGGAAATTCTGTGATCCATAACATAACTGCACTACTTTTCATTATTTTACTGAGCAAAGGATCAGAACTACAAACATTCAAAAGTCACAAAGGCCTTGTTGCAAATTCAGTTGCCCTTAATTCGACTTATTTCCAAAACTGCATAATTAACTGGACTTCAGTGAAGTGCTGGCTGAAACAGTCCAATTGTATTGAGCACCATAAGCAGACTTCAGTTCAGCAGAAATTCTTGACAGAAAATATTCACATAATTAAAAATACAAACATTTATTATGGAAGATACAATATAGTCCATCATTCTCTGTATTAGACACTTACACAAAGAGTTACATCTTGAAAAAGCTAAAGATAATAAAGGATGTGAACCAGATGCAATACAAGGCTTTTAAACAGAAAATTATACCTTGCAGCAAAGTACTATCTAAAGCTATTTCCAGAAGAATTAGTTTGTGGTTGATTCCCAAAAAGTCAACAGTAGAAGACTTAGCAAATCATTCTTCTTAAAAACTGTTACATTATTCTCAAAATTATTTATTACCTGTCAGAAGTGAGAATGTGACTTGCAAGAATTCTTTCATTATGAAAATCAGTGTTGTTCTCTCCTCCCCACACCCAAGACAAGGGTGCCAAAAAAGTCAACCTTATAAAGGTACTTTCAAAATAAAATAAACTCTGTGTGGAGTGATGATTTACCTGATACACAAATTCTGGTCCTAGTAAAGTGGTGTAATAATAGTGCATGACCACACATCAGTTTGAGTTTGACTTTCAGTTTGACTTTCTGCATCAGTTATCCTCTACATCAGTGAATAATCAAAAAAATAGAAAAAAAGACTATATCATCTTTGATCTCTATAAATCAAAGAAATCATTACAACACCCTGTGGCCAGGCATCTCAAAAGCAAGTCAAGTAGCTCATCAAGTCCCAGCTAACTGGCAATCATTTCTTTATCATAAAACACAGCTCAAGGCAACACAATGTAAATAAAAATCAGGTGAAAGTGTCAGCACTTACCAAATTTGAATCTTTTAATCACAAAGAGATAGAGGTGGTTGGCAGCAGTTGCTGGCCTTGCTTTAAGTTGTAACGTTGAAAACAAGATCATAGAAGAAGTCTTCAACATTTTAATGTGAACGTCCTGTTAATGTTCACTACCTAAGGACAAGCTTAGGCACTTAGTATATGTTAAAAGACTGTGACAAAAAGTTGTTCTTCAAAGAAAAACGCATAAAATTCTCATAGCTATGTGGACTGTGTTTGACAATGTCGGAGAGCTGGTCTATTACTATTCACTTCATTTTTTATTAAGGTCTTGTGCTGATTGAATAAACAGTGTTCCTCACTGCTATCACACAAAGGGTGGAGACTGGCAACCTGTGTGGACCCGTCGTAACCCACACCTTAGCAGAATTGTCTGATGAGCTGCTGCAAGATACCCAAGGGTTTAAGAGTTGAAGGGAACGTTCCATTTAGAACAGGCTGGGGAGCAAAAGCTGCTGAAAACCAATAAAAAGTTTCTAAATGCAGAGAAAGTCACAAGGAGGAGGTTGGCAGACAATACCTCCTACCGTTACAAATATCATCCTTGTCTGCTTAGCAGCCCTGTAGGTGCAGGATAATTTACTCTTATCATCGAAATTGTAAGACATTTTTCTGTTTCCTATTTCCAAAGGGCTGAAAGGAATGAAAAAAGGGGGGAAAGAAAAAGACAGAGTTTTCTGCACAAATTATAACTGTACAGATTTGCTGTTAAGGGCAGCTGTTTCTCAGAGCTGCAAAATATACAGAATTTCATGTATCTGATTCTCTGCTAGAAGCACAGGCTAGAAGCCAACTCATCAAAACCTCTATCAAAAATACAATTTTAACATCTGTTTGGACTTTGACTTATCTCACTGCTCCCAGACACTATTGATTATCATTATCTGCAAGTCTCTAGTATTCTAAACAGCAGCAGCAAACGGAAATGAAAAGTGAGCATTTTGATACAAAGACAGATAGAGGCTTCTAGGGCAGAATGAAAACTGCTGGTGCTGACTGAAATCCGAGTCTAACTTCATCTCCTCTTCTATAAATACACTGTCAATAGAAAGGAATAAGATACAGCCTAAACTAAAATATTTATTAAAACTATAATAAGAAATAAGGGATTTTGCCAAAGGAGAAAAGGCATTACATTATCAGAGACTGGTTGCTCTCTGCAATATACTTCCTGGGAAGGATATGATTGTTGTCTTTTTCTTTGCAACAGACTTCTCCTCATACCTTTGGTGTATTATGTGCTTGACTGGACCACAGGAACAGGATATAAAATGTATGGATATTAGCAACTCTGTTGAAGTACATAATGAAAGTTTTTGCTTTAGCAAAGTAATCTCATCCTTGCCTTGGAAAACAAAAATCTTCAGAAAGCTAGAACGCCAAACAAGAAGGGTGTAGGCTTGAAGCCTTTCCCTCTCCATTCTTCCCAACTTGAAATATGTAGGTACTCCTATATATGCTCCCAAAGAAGCAAGTCTCTCTTTCTTCCCATCCTCCAATATTTATATGAATCCAGGGTAAACAATGTGTACTTTGGAGACATGCAGAGGAAATTTTACAACCCTCAGTGCTCAAAATCAGGAAGAGCAAGAGAAGAGTCTTCTCTTAATCCCATTGAGTCATCTTTGCACACATCAGGATGATCAACCAGTCTTTCTCCCTTCCTACCTACCACAAGATTATGTCCTCTTTAATTTGCAATTAAAAAAAAAATAGAAAAGAGTATCACCCCATGCTCAAAATTCTACCAAGAAGACAAAAATGATTCACTGTGGTGTTTCAGTCTCTCTGTAGGTTATGGACCAAGAAGAGACAGAAATTTGTTGATATTTGCCAACCAGCTTTGTTCCATCAACATTCCTACAATTAAGAACCAAAACAAAGAACCTTTCAAGTACACAAACACAAGAACCTTGTGGACTGTTTCATCAGAACCACTTCCAGACTAAAGAAACAATTTTTTTTTTGTTTAATTGTTCAAAGCTCTACAATCACGGTTGTTTGTTTTCCTCTAGCACAATGCAGACTAATAGCAGATTTTGACCGTTCACAGTGACATATAAAGTCAGATTTCACAATCATCAGACACCAGAGGAGGGAGGAATCCATACAGAATTTCTACTATAAGTAACGACTTATCTACTTTTGGGGAAAAAAATATTTTTTCATGTTTTCAGATATTGGAACAGGTTGCCCAGAGAATTTGTGCAGTCTGTCTCCATTCTTGGAAGTTTCAAGACCTGACTGGATAAAGCGCTCAGTAACCTGGTCTGTCCTCACAGCTGACCATGCTTTGAGCAGGAGGTTGGACTGAATGACCTCCTGAGGCCTTTTCCAAACTGAATTCTCCTATGCCTCTATGTTCTGTTATACAAAAAAAAAGCAAATAAGCAGGATTATCTCCCAAGATTTCAACGCTTCTTCATCTTGTTACCAACCTGCATATTCCAGAGGGTAGCTTCACGATATACATGTATGTGAATTAAGAGGCAAAAGGAAAAAGATGGGGCAAACAGGAAAAAAAGAATATTTTTTCTCTTTCCATTCAAAACACCGCTCATCAGAAGTCTCCTTCCACCCTGCCAGTAAACAGCTCACAGTGAAAACAAAAGCCTTCATAATTTGATGCAGAATAAAATATTACACTTTCTCATTACGAAAGTTGGATCTATGACCCCGAGAAGGATTAAACACCACAGATGTTTCAATCATAGAACAGTTACATGATTTCATGCCATACTACTCCATAAATGAAGAAGGCAACAATGTCCAAGATTCCTCATTTGTTCCCATATTAAGCTGGCCAATAACTACAAGCCATCCCTCAGCATAATATATGAAAAACCAGCTTAGCTGTAGCCTGTTGTACTATTTTATAGACAGTGTAGAAAGCTATGTGAGCTCAGTTTAAATGCCACACCCATGCTGGTTGGTTGCGAGACTTTAAAAAATACCTTGCTTTTTCAGGTTTTTCCTCCCTAAGTAATTCCTAATTTACAGTTGCATCACTATGAAGACTGGCCAGATAAAATATTTTTACCTACCATTTACACTACTGATTAGCAATAGATTATACATATAAATCCAAATATGATTGCTGAATAGACCATTTGTCTTGGCCTCAATAATTTATGGGGAACATCACTCTTACCCAACAGAACATCAAAGTGAAAATGTGCAAATTAGCTTCGCAGATGGTGTTTGAAATGAAGTACATTGAGATCTAACATACCGAACTTCTAGACACTGGATGGCCAAGAACATCCTGAATTCAACCACCTGTCACCTACCTATTTCTGGCAGCAAATTTCTTTTAAAGATGTATACACATACACACAAATGTATGTAAAAACATACATATGTAATTTATATGAGGGTATGCAGGTATGTAGACCATAGAACATTCTGCAGAATCACCCAAATCACTGGAGCTGTGACACTGTAAAAGGTGTCAGGAGATCCCTGTAGCATAAGTACCATATACTCTGGCATACCCTTTTTCCAAGTGCTCTCCAGTGACCAAATGATGAAAAGATTCCGTCCTGAGAGGTCTCATCTCCTTGGACTGTGGAGATGTAATTAAAAGTGAAGGCCTCTGCACACAGGGAGGATGCACTTGACCTGTTGGTGGGGGGGAGATATTTTGAACACAACAGAACCGAGTGACACCAATACTTACTTGGCAGGCATTATAAATCAACTGGTGTTCCAATTTTTTGATCCCTAGAATCTGCTGAAACATTTCATAAAGCTGTTCCTTGCTCAGAATCAGCTCCGATACAGCACTTAAGGCCATTCTATTCGGCTGTTTGCAAAAGTCCTCTTCTCCCCTGTATATGGCATCGTATTTGGCTAGCCAAGAACTTAACACTGTCTCTTTGCTTAATCCATCAATTTCCGGCAAACTTCGGACCCTCTTTTCTATGTTTTTCTTAAAAACATCTCTAAAGTCATTTGCAGAACATCCTCCGCTGTGGACCATTCTTGCAACCCGGTCACTCTTGAGAAATACCTTTTAAAATAAAAGAAGAGAAAAAAAAAGAAACAGAAAAAATTAGGCATGGACACAAACACAAAATAACCCCTTATAAAGGGACTACAAGCTAATATTTTGCTTCTATGTAAGATGGCTTTATTATAAAGAATAGTTATACAGGTCAAGTTTGCTATATTTTTCACACAGAAACAAGTGACCATGTTGAAAAAGTAAGTTTCTGCATTGAACAAGTACTAAGTAGCTTTTAAAGTACTTTGCATAAATTTACAATAGCTAAGCTAGAATGAAGTTTGAATTAACAGCAGTTAATTTAAAACTTACCTACAAGATTTAATTAATCTTTCCTCCATTAAAATCACAGAAGTCTAAAGTTACTTGCAAGTAACTCATGGATAAGCTACACTGTATCAAGACTCGGGAGTATGAGTTAAAATATGATCTTTAAGCCAGCCGAGAATCTCATGGAAGATAAGACAGAAATGCAGGAAAAAAAAATACTAGAGAAATACTACAATCAATATTAACAATAGAGAGAAGAAAGACTCAAAGATACAGAGCTGGTTCTACTACTGTAGATACAATACTGGAGACACAATATGGGATTCTCTGTGTAAAAAACTCAAACAAAAACCAACAAAAAAACTCACTCCCAAGTACACATACTCTATGATATGATAAGGCAAATTACAACAACAAACCAATTAAATCAGCATTCTGTAAGAGCTTTTCATTGTTCAAGGATGGTTGCATTCATCTTTTCTTCTAACACAGGCCTTGGCAAGGTTGGTCTTTCCAGCCACTGTGTGGGGCCAGCTCATTCCTAGTAGCAAGTCTCATCAAACTGTTTCTCCACAAAATGCAACCAACAAAAAGATGACCACTGCAGCATGATCAGCCACGTAAAAAACTGACATCTGCCTTGGACAAGGGATAAACTGCATCATGCCATTGAACGGATAACTCAGGGAGAACCACCTGGCTTCCTGCAGCAGAGGGAGATGGGTCGAGGCGCTCCACCCTGCAAGGCTTGGCTGCTGGGGGACTGCTTGGGTGCCACACCAATGCCCCAAGCACAGCTGAAATGCAAAGAACAGTAGTCTACACAGATTTACTATCCATCACCTTTCTGACTGTTTGCTCCCTTCAATCAGCTGCAATGAAGTGGAAGACGAGTTAACTATGTATTTTCAGGTAATCATTTTAGTCACCGACAGCTATGAAAACGCAATGAATGGAGATAACAGCACAGTAGAGCTCTGACTCCGTATGTTGGAAGATGGTGCACCTAATAACCAACCTAAAATATTACTGTGCTTCATTTGGAAAATACAAGACAGACCAGTATGAGAGGAGCTAAAAAGCTGAGCAGAGAGGAGTGCACAGGTAGAAACAGATCAAGAAAAACATATTCTAAAAGTTCTGGTGCCTGTTGATGCACGTTTCCCTGCAGCATATTTTAAAATGCAGTTACTTACAAAATGTATCTTTCACAGATGTCCTAACTGATATTGTACAGAGGCAGAGTAAGCCTAAAAGTACTTGCCCAAACAGATTATTGAAAAAAACCATCACCAATATCTGCTAATCATATTTTATGCTCTAGCTGTACCATGATAGATTTCCTTTTTTTGAAACATAAGTATCTAAGGTTAAATTCTTATTCATAAAAGGATTTGATATGGTTACTGTCAATTAATGCTGACATTTATTTCCTAAAAATGCTACACAAATATTGAATCTCATTTCAGAACAAATAATAATCAGAAATTCCACTCAGCAATAAAACTTATCAACACAAACAGGTACAAGGATATTAAGTCTTTCCTTGTTTTAACAGTCTGCAGTTACAATTGATTCATTTCTCCAACAGCTTCACTGGAAAACAAATAGAAAAAAAAATATTTTAAAAAGATGACTTCAAACTAACTTCAGCTACTTTGTGTTGTTCATAAACAGCATTAAATCTTCCCTGACGTTAGTTTGCATAGCCAATGAAAGAAAGCAGATGCAGAAGAAAGAATGAAATTAAGAATATTTATAGGCTCTTCCCCCCAAATATCTCATGTTTATTGAAGACTACATGACCCTATGTATTGCTAATATAACTGTATCAGTGTAATAAAAAAAAAAAAAAACACCTGCAAAACACACACTCTAAGATCATCAGAATATCATTCACCTTCTGTTACCTTCTTTCAGTCATATTATTCAAAACCATTAATCCAGAATGCAGGGGCTGAAAAGCTGCTAGCACTTCCCTTGACTTATGAACCAGACTAATTAAAAATTTATTTCTGATTATGAAGTGGATTTTCTAGGAGACTGCAGGAAAAATCTGTTACATTTTTTCAATACTTATCTGTGAAAGGGGAGTACTGTTGTAACACTTGGTGCCCACAACACTGACAAAATGATGGCATGTTCATGTTGGGCAAAATAAATTTTTATATAGATTTGTACAAATATAAAATACAATTTGCATGTATCCCTGACCTTAAAATGTTCCCTTCTGAAGTGTTTTGGGTCACAGACTGTATTTTATTAAATATTCAAAAATTATTCCAAGATCATTCTTTCGCAAAAGATGTGGTGGATATTAAAGGAAATAAAATATAAACCCAAGGTGTGAATAATTGACTACAGAAAGTACATGGTTGGTTCTGAAAAGGAATCCATTGGACCTAAATCTCTTATTGTACTACTCCTTTTTGAGCAGCAATTTACTAAAATTTTTCCTGAGGGAAAAAAAATTAACATCATCTTTAAAATGAACTACTTGCATTTGAGAGAATTAAAAAATAATAACAACATTTGAACAGAAAGACTCCATTTTTAAGACTTTTTTTGCAACAGAAAACTGTAAGAGAATGGAAATTCAGTTAGGGGTGTACCATACGTGCCTCAAATTTGACACAGTAAGATGCATTAAAAAGCTATTAAATGTCTTGCTATTCTTGTTCCTGAAAGACATATGGTACACTTCATGCTAAATTCAAATCCTTTGCTGCAGTTATATTTCTTGAGATTTGTCTCCTCAGTTTCAAAGCTTTTCTGAGCTGTTTTATGGCTGGGTTTTTTTTTTTTTTTTTTTTTTATTCTAAGTAGAAGTTTATGGGAGTTGCTACTATATGGAAAATGGTATGCCACCAGTTTCATGCTGATGGACTTATTGTTTCCACCACTGTTCCAGAAAGACTGTCTGGCTGAGTATGTGTGGGTCCAGAGTCTAGGCTAGGACTGCGGATTGGGATACATACGTGCTTTACAACACTGGTGGTACTTTATTGGCAGCATTCATTTTTACAATGAAATACAAAAGCTTTTATAGTAGTCTTAACATAGTTTGCCGCTTTTTTTCAACGTGGATTATATGCGCAGCCCAATCATCCTTATTAGGGACAATATTTGTGTTGATATCTATCTTTAAAGCAAAATACTAATTAAGTAGATTCACTAAATTGTTGGCTCTTCTTCCCTTTACTCCTGTATTTTTATTGTCTGATCATTAGACTTCAGACATTAGATTAATTTCTAATTAAATAATTCAAAAACCTCCAGTGTTAAAATGTTATCCCAAGTTTCTCAGCACTAGGGGGGAACTGGAGAAAAAAAAAAAATTACAGGTTTGAATGTAAAATATAAAATACCAGAAAAAGTTATTGTGGGGACAGAGAAATCTATTTCTATAGGGAGCTAGATTTGGCAGATCAGCCATGATAATTTGGAAATCTTCGTATTATTTAGAAATAATTTGAAAAGAGTCAAAGTTTTTAATGAAGTATTTCCTGTTTCTATCAACGTTTTCTGGACTTCCTCAAAGAAATCCTAGGGCAATGCTTTTTGTTAGTTGGCATTTGAATTTTTAGTATCATTGTTGGTTCCTTAAATCTAAGTCAACATCAACTCTTCACGTTACCTGCTGCTAACAAACTATCAAACACCAAAAAAACCCGCTCTATTAACACATACAATGCATTCAGGAAAAAACAGATAGTTAAAAGATAGGTTTTGGTCAGCCCAATATATCCATCTTGAGGAACTTTTTCAATTTTCATTATTTAGAGCCCTTCTAAATACTGAGCCATACCTACAGTCTTTGATGGATAAAGTTTTCCTCATACCATAACCACTCAGAGATGATCAGGTAAGGAATTAAAAAAACAAAAATCCTCAATTTCTTCTTCCCTTATAATTACAGTAACAATTATCATTTGCATCTATCTACTGAAGTATGGTTTAAATTCACTTTTTCTCCAATTGTTATACATACACAATTTCATCTGTTGCAAATGATAGTAAAAAGCTTAATCCAAAATAGCCTTTAGCACTAGATAGTTACATTAAAAGTATATTTCTGTTTAGAGATGAAAAATTATCATTAAGCAGTGCCTACAACTTGAGAAAAATATTGGAAATATTAAACAAAACTGCTTTTACATCTTCTAGCACATACCCCTTGAATAATATTTCTATTTATCGAACATCATACCAAATTCAACTAATTACATATGCAGGCAACAAAAACATGATAATCTTATTCTCTACTACAAAGCTTAGAAAAAAACATAAGCAATATGCAAAAGAGTTCACATAAACTCAACTGTAGATAACCTTTGTGGTTTTTTTGTAAATGGATTAACTGAGAGGTCCATTAGGCCATGCATTACAAACTTTTATACGTGTTTTCTTTCATTTGAAAGACACATACTGATGGAGTTTTCTATTAAGGTCACCTTTTCAGCCAGTTTGGAAGAAAAAAACCAACACAATAGTTATAAATATCTATAATGTTTCTACCAGTTTGTATAAGTGGTGTTATTAATAAAAATAACATTTTGTAAAAGTCTGCTACACATACCAGTAAAGCACAACCTTTCAGCTACTTGCTTATATATCAGTTCTAGCAGAGCCTGACTCAGCTCTAGGCACAGCACCAACTGGCAATACACTAAGCTTGCACTGACCAAATTATTTTACTAGCTCTTTTATTCTCTGGCAGAAAACTTTGCAAAAGGGTTTGATAAAGAGAAAATTTATGATCTAAGCCCCCCCACTCTTTAAACAAAGGATTGCAAAAACAAGCAATCAAAAAAAAGTGTGCTCTAAACAGTGCATTAACTCAAAAGGGAAAAATATATATACATTAGGATTTTTAACCAAAATCTCACTTTCCTACTAACATTCTCTTCCAAAATAAAACACAGAAAGTAACCCCCCTATTTTTTTTAATTGCAAAAACATTGTGTCTACAATACAAATCTCTTGCAGAAGACCACTCAGATCTGTGGTATATCCAGTGCTATAAAATAAAAATCCTTGGGTTTGTAGGTAATAAGTTATAACGGAACACTTTTTTCAACATAAAATTGCCTTCTTATTAACCATGTGAAAACTGAAATTTTAGTTTCAGGGAATGTAAGCGTTTATATATATATATAAAATATGCGTATGTGTCTATGTAATGCATGTGTGTACACACACACACACACACAGAAAAGCATTGCAGTCAGTCATGTTCACCCATTATTCATTTTGGAGACAAACCGAATTCAGCTATGACTTATTTCTTCTTATGCTTTGAGTACAAGTTTTGTGTGGTAACATAGGATTTTGTTTAAGCAAAACATTTGCTCTTTTAAAATTCAAAAGGGTACTACGAAGGGCAGACAAACCACAAGAATGATTTCTCAGTCTCTGAAAAGGAAACTCCTTACTTATCCGGCCCCTGTACACCTTCTTAGCAGTGCAAGTGCACGAACATTCTCTTCTTCACTAAGCAAAGCAGCTCTGGGAACTTCATTTGCCACAAGAGCAGCTAGAGATTTGTCTTCATTTTTGACAGTCGCTGCTGTTCCTCTAGCTTTGAGGAGATCACATTTACACTCTAGACATGTCCTATGTCTTAACAGCCAGGGCTCAATGCATCTCTGACGGAAAAGATGGCTGCAGCTCAAAATGCACAGTACGTCTCTGGGACAGTAAACTTCTAGACATACAACACCTCATCTGAATCAGCTTCCTTATCACTTTTCTTTACAACACATAGTTCAAGCTGCCTAATAGCTTTTTTCACTTCTGTTAAATTCTGGCATTATGGGATCCAAGCTCCTGGTATCCTGCATGTTCCAGCACAGTAACAGGTAGAATAAAACACCACAGCCCTTATACACAGAGAGGGCCTCTAAATAATGGTTCATCCAGGAGCCGTGGTAGCTTCCTACTTCTATTGCTATGATTACTTGTATGCCATCCTGAATTAAGCATAAAATGTCCTACCAATCACAGCTGTAATAGTATCCTCTGCACTGATGTAGACCTTAGGAAATGCTTCATTACCTACACTTGGACATTTATAAGTGACTGCACCAATTGCTCCAATTGATGCTGCACACTTTATTTTGCTTGTGAAAGTACGCTCTCTCCTTCTAATTAGGACTATCCATGTGTCTGTTTCTGTTGGCCTCCTGAAGCTTGCTAAGGAGCTGCAAGCACTGCAGCGTGGTCATTTGGGTAGCACCACCAATGCAGACACAGTCTTTAACGGTGAAGTTCTTCCAAAGACTCCACCCAGGTGCCGACTCCCACACTGTCCTCTTCCCAGCCTGGAACAAAATGCTTAGGCAAGCAACTCCCAATCCATGGGCTTGTGATCAAAGCAGACAGGGCACCATCAAGACTGCAAAGCACAACCACTGGGAGGATTTGGCCTCTCTTCTCCCAGCCCGAGTCACATCCTCTTCAAAAAGAAATACACCTTAAGAGCATTTTTCCCAGTTGGAGCTGGAGCTTGTCACAGAGGCTCAGTCTGCTGGGAGCCGTGTTGCTTCACCATATTATGCCACCAGCGATGGCACTACTGCTTTTTAGCTGTGGGATCTTCCTTGGGCAGGTGGGATACACTTCCCGTTCCCGTGTTTCGTGGTACTGCCATGTCAATCTCCTGTGCTCAGTGCAGAGAAATAAGACTCAAAAGATTTTGGTGAAGGTGGGGGTAGACCCACTGTCCCCGAGATAACAGCTGCCCCAATTTCATCTGCTTGTCATTGTTACTTACTATACAATACCTTAATCCTACATTCATTGAATATCAATGCCCCCACATAAACCTTTGAAGTTTAGTTTAATCTCTCTCTCTCAGGAAAAAAAAAAAAGAAGAGCAAATTTCACTGTAAGGCACGTAAGGAAAGTTCAGCCTCTGACAACATCACACATTCCACCTTTCAGGTGTTTCCAGAGCTTTCAAACCATATTCTACACATAAGGGCCAAACACTGTCTCTCCTACACCGGCTCACAAAGACTGATGAGCCAGCTAGTTAGTTATCTAGATCCTCAATGTATTTATTCATGCCAATGTACTGCAACTGATGTTTGGGGCATCCTTAAAACACGCTAATGTTAAAACTGAACTTTTTCATATAACTAAGAAAAAAGGTTGTCAGGTAAGGCTTACAGGTATTTCTCTTTGGAGGTTTTTTTCAGGAGAACTCTATCAACCAGACACAGATATACATCTACAGAAAGCAGCATTTTGTCCTGAAGGAATCATTCTTGTATTAAAGGTTTTTTTTTTTTTCACTTTAAGCTTGCTTGAAACAAAGCTAGGACTATATTAAGATTAATGGCAACTATGTCATACTGGAAATCGTCAATTAAAATTACAAAATATAAATGTATAGAAGTACCTCTTTGATAAAGACTGAACAAGGGCAAAAAGGACTTCGATGGAAGTCCAAGGAACACTCAAGTTTGTGAATGCTCTTCAGGTTTCTGATGTGCTTTTCTGATGTGTTCTCCACTCAAGCTCCTGATGTGCTTCTTACAGTTACCAGAACTCTTGAGTTTATGACACATAGAATAAATTTTTTAAAATGGCCAGCAATTTTCAGGGCTAAATTGAACTCTAAAATTTCTGCAAAAGACAATAATTCTCTTTCTAGGAACTAAAAGGAATTGAAATACATTTCTTACTTAAAAATTTGATGTGACATGCATCATCATACTGGGCTAGAAGCATTACCTGATGCAAAACAAATCATAGAGCATTTACTGTGTGATATTAAATAGCACCTTTGCTGCTACTGCAGCAGCTCCTCAAAGCCTCTCATACAAAAGCTCATTAGCAACTCTCATCGCAGTCAACAGCTCTCACCCACTTCTTAAAGTCCTTCCTGTTCCACAGGAATAAAAATATTCCCCATTTCAGTCATTAGCGTGAGCAACGTTCTCTGGGACCAGCACACACAGCCCTCAGTAGTTCTATTGTATTCTGAAACTGCACAATGCATTGCACCGAGAATTGGGGCTAGTTTGATGAAGGTGCAAAAAACTCCTGACATTTTGGAGAACAGCTTCCACAACTACATATTTTAAGAACAAAGGCTTATGCCTAAAAGGAATTAACATATATTATAACCAACACTGTTTGGTGCTATACCCTGGAGCTGCAGAAAAAAACATTGTTTCAGATACGATGTTCTCACTGCACTTATGAGAGTCTGGAAAGAAAGAAAAAAACACTCCAAAAATTATGAAGTTGATGTTTAGATTAGGTTTAGTCCATTCAACTAATCAGACTACAAGAACAAGATCATTTTGGGTTAAAAATAAATAGCTTATGCAGTAGCTTCGTACATCTAATAGCACATATTAATTATTTTTATGCTAGTTGAATAAAACTACTGCCTTAGCCATTGAAACAGCATTTATATTCTAAGAAGAGACTAATAGATACCAATGCATTTTAATAACTACTTTCAATAACTGTTGGCTGCTGAGCATGAGTGGAAATTGAGCTACTCACTGAGATTTGCTCAGTATTTATAAATCAGAAGTATCTTTTACATTTTTAGGAAAAAAAATTTTATAAGACTGGCTTGCAGGTCTTCTCCCTCCCTCGTTCCCTTTCACCCCCTAGAAATATCCTCCAGGCACTATGTTGGGTTTTTTCCAATAAAATTATCAGAGTTAAAGGGCCATTTTTCTTTGTCTGTGTAAGTCTTCAGAACAGAGTCTTTACCTTCAGGTAAAACCAAGAGATACTCAAAATTTAAAAGATTACACTAATAAAGTCCTATTTCTCTATTTAAGTACTTCTGTCATGATTTTGTTAATCACAGGTTTATTCTCCTAAAAGTATATTACACTCTACAGTTTTCCCTAATTCGGGGGGGTGGGGGGCAGGCGGGGCCAAAATAAAAAAACCTTAAATTTTGGTTAACAGCAAGGTTTTTGTTTGTTTTTAAAGTCTCCTTAAAACACCACATTACATTAAGGTGAGAAAAGGAAATAAAATTTAAAGTAATAAACCATCATTGCCTGAAGAGGCATAATCTTAATTTAGCACTCTACAGTTTTCCCTAATTCGGGGGGGTGGGGGGCAGGCGGGGCCAAAATAAAAAAACCTTAAATTTTGGTTAACAGCAAGGTTTTTGTTTGTTTTTAAAGTCTCCTTAAAACACCACATTACATTAAGGTGAGAAAAGGAAATAAAATTTAAAGTAATAAACCATCATTGCCTGAAGAGGCATAATCTTAATTTAGTATTTTTCCTCTTTTTTTTTTTTTTTTTTTTTAAATATCATGTCTACTACCCTTCTGGAGTATATTAAGCTATGATTTCTCCTTATCAAGAGTAACGGTTCAGAAACCATCACAAGTCGGAATCTTTAGAAGGTTTACTTTGTTTTCTTCAACTCTTTTGGGCAATATCATAGCTGCACATTGGACATTTCCCAGAGCTTAGCAACCAGCTATTTGTAAAAAAAACCACCAAAACCCAAACTCTTGCAAATTAAAACGTCTGCTACTTCTCTAGGCTTGTAAGGATACTACACAACACTGTGCACTGGGATTTGTTTCTTTGCCTTCTTTTTCAAATTGGCACAAGCAATTGCCCAAAGTCGTCACAAATTTCTGTTCCTGATGGCTACACATTTCACAGACTCATGTACTGCAATGTTCGTGCCTCGGGCACAAGAACAAACAGAGCTATAGTGACAATCACCATAAAAAATCCACAAAACTATTTCACCCTGAAGCAGTGTTTTCTCCTGGATTCATTTATTAAAATTATCCAGACGCCCTTTTGGAACAAGCATATTTATCCTCCTTTCAAGGCTGACAATAGCAACAATAGTTTTTGCACCGTTGTGAAAATAGCAAGTTATATACTGTTTCCTATATGAGTATAGTTGTGGATTACTTTAGCAATAGCTCTACTTAGAATCATAGAATCATTAAGGTTGGAAAAGACCTCTAAGATCATCAAGTCCAACCGTTAACCCAACACCACCATGCCCACTAAACCATGTCCCTAAGCGCCTCATCTACACGTCTTTTAAATACTTCCAAGGATGGTGACTCTACCACTTCCCTGGGCAGCCTGTTCCAAGGCCTGACCACTCTTTCAGTAAAGAAATTTTTCCTAATGTCCAGTCTAAACCTCCCTTGGCGCAACTTGAGGTCGTTTCCTCTCGTCCTATCGCTAGTTACTTGGGAGAAGAGACCGACACCCACTGCACTACAACCTCCTTTCAGGTAGTTGTAGAGCACGATGAGGTCTCCCCTCAGCCTCCTCTTCTCCAGACTAAACAGCCCCAGTTCCCTCAGCCGCTCCTCAGAAGACTTGTGCTCCAGACCCTTCACCAGCTTTGTTGCCCTTCTCTGGACACGCTCCAGCACCTCAGTGTCCTTCTTGTAGTGAGGGGCCCAAAACTGAACACAGTATGCGAGGTGCGGCCTCACCAAGGCCGAGTACAGGAGCACGATCACCTCCCTACTCCTGCTGGCCACACTATTTCTGATACTTGCTACAGCCACTGCTATCTTCTCTTTAAAAGTACAGTCTCCCCTTCCACCAAGAACTCTGGTTCACTGGCTGTCTGAAGTGTGTTGAAGGACTTTGTGTACTGTGGTACTGGCCCTCAGGTGGTACCGGCATGCCGGAGGAGTTATTCTCCAAGTATCACCTGGATGTACAACTCCAAAGTAGTCCAACTTCCCTCCCAAGTGACTTTGTTCACACAGGCAATGAATGTTCACGTGGTTCAAGATCTGTGCGGGCTGATCCACATCCACATATTCAACACTGGCAGCCAGAAAGAGGCAAATCCTCTTCCCCTAAGATGAGGCTCAAGTACCTTCATGCTAGACCCTGCATGAGGGTAATTACAAGCTACAAAAACGACTTCTCGTCTTCCAGGTGTCTACGGCAGGGAGAAATTAGCTGATAAACAGGTAAAAGGACACCAGAAATAGATCTGCATATTTCAAAATGTTGTGATGCTTGGTTTGTTGAAACATAAGAAACAGCCTGCTGTTAAAAGAAGTCTCAGTAGTTCTGTGTTCAGTAATGGGACTGGGATATCTGACGTGCTGCTAGGGAGAAAGCACTGTTCCCTCTGCATATTGCTTTCCTCCCGGCTAGGATATTGTAAGTCTGCTGTAGACAATGCCATGAGGTCTGAAATCACACCTATATGGTCCACTCATCATTCCTATTTAACTGTAGAAATAAATGTGTGAATGTCACTGGAGACTGAGCAGTTTCTGTACAGGCCTAGGCTCTTCTATCCAACAGCTCTCTTCTGCTAAGAAAGCCGTATTTGTAGATGCTTCTCAAGACCTTCAGATATAGAAGAAAGAACAGACTGCACAGAGTGGATCTAGAATAAATCATTAAGTTCAGTAATTCCAAAACAGAAATGGTACTCCAGCTGTCAGCCTGCCCAGGGGAAGATGTTAATTACCATCATAGCAAGAGAAACATAAACTTCATGCTAAACATGAGATGTTTTCAACATCTATCTTTTTAATGCCTTGACTATACAGACCATAAGCACAACTGAAAGTATTTTATACTGAACAACATGCAACCCCAAAGGGAGGGAGAAGACTTCTATGCTTTGAAGCACGCATTTGTTTGCTTGCAAGTTAAATGCAGGGGTTGTGTTGTCACCAAGCCAGACAAGTTACCAACAACCTGTTCTTATGCTATTTTCCCAGTTTATTCAAGACTTGGCAATTAAAGCAGACATGAAACTATTTCAGCACGGAGATACAAAGCAGAGGTTTTCCTTGACCATGTAAGGAGCTTCTTCCTCCACTGTGTAAGGCTGCAACATGCTCACTTTCCTTGGTTATATCCATCCCCATCTACTTGGCTAAGAAGTCATTTGCAAAGCCTCCTTTTGCCAAAGCGGATCTTCTTCGTTAGTAAAGTTCAGTAAGCATTAGGAGCTCATCAACACATTGCTTCCAGAGTTTCTTCCCTCTTTACAAAAGAGCTGAAAACTTGCTCCCCAGTACACTGATCTTGCCTGACCAGAACTCCTCCCTTTGGGGACCAATGGAAAGCTCCAGGTGGCGAGAATTTCAATGGGTCTATTCCAGCTACCATAAGCCAGAAAAAGACTGTTCACTTGAACGTGTAACACAGCGTGCCTTGGAGATATCACTGAAAAAAGGCTTACTCTCACTGCACTATTGGTCCCATTCATTTTCCAGCAAACAAATTCCAGAAGGAAGGTGTCCAACCCTGACTGAGGGAAGAAGGTGAAGGACCACAAAAGCAGCTAGAAATAATAAAGCAGAAAGAAGAAAGAGGAAACTGAAGATTGAAAGAAACACACTTCAAAAAGGAAACATGTATACACAAAAATAATGAGCAGCAAACACAGCCATGCCAAAAGGATTAGAAAACAACATTTACTTAGCATACTTATTTATTTCACAATCACAGATAATGATTAGTTTATGCATAACTGCCTCCTTTGGTACCTGCCAACTTGAGAAAAACACACAGCTGTTCAAAATCAATAGCCCGTATTTCCATTTGCCTTGCTAAGGAACTCCTCAATATGCTGACTTTTTGGTGTTTATTTAGTGCTGTACAAAAACCAACAAAGCCCACTACTTTATCTCTTGTGATAGTTTTTATCTCTTAGGATACAATCTTTCATAAATATAAGATCCAATTTCCTGCATTAACTCTGAGAAAAAGTGAAGTAAATGAGCAAGTACAATAAAGAAGGGAAAACGGTCCTTCACTTCACTGAATTTTCCTTTAGAATCACTTGTGGTTCTAATTTTTATTCCACTTGACTGAAAAGTGGAAGTTATATGACAGTTTTCATCATTGGTATTGCACTGGCATCATTTTGTGAGAGATTAAAAGAATTGGCGATTTCATTTCCCTATTATCATTAATGTTCTCCTGCATTAACCATTTTCACCTAAGTATGGATTAATAGCTTTTAGTTTGAATGAACGTACTACTATATCTCTGTTTTTAAACATAATATCAGACAGCCTATAGTCAGAGTAGCTCTGCTGAGATCCTTTCAGTCTCTATTCCCTGCCACCACCCTAACTACTTTCATTTACAATGAGGACACTGTTTCAGAATATATTTTTTTATTCATCAAGATCACTTTTTCATTTCCAATTTATGTATTCTGCCAGTGCAGATGAATGCTAAAAAACCACATGAGCAAACAGAAATTGGGCTGAAGCCACCTGAGACGTCATCACAAAACATTTTTTTTTTTTCTGTCTCTGTTTTACAAATCAAAAAAGTGTCAGCAAACTGACATTTAAGCAATTAACCTGCCACTTTCTTTCCCTCTACTATTTCTTTTGGTGCAGTCGAAGGAGTGCTGTTGGGTGGGGAGAAAGGTTAAAGCATTGAGTTTACTCCGTGGTCTAAGGTAACTGGAAAAGAATTGACACACCATGAATACTGCAAAACTTGGATAGTCACTGGAAAACAAAGACAAGAGTAAACTCTCTTAAGCCTTGCAAGGCTTATTGATGATGTCTCATCTTTTAATATAGCATCTTTCTCCTACTATGATCCCCAAGATTTAAGGAAGCAATACATTTATGGAAAACTCAGCCCCTTTCCATCTACGGAAAAAAATTCTTTTGCATCCCATGAAGGGTGACATTGTTTTAACAGTATTTTTGAGAATTGGGGATTTTGAGAATCTGTAGAGTGCAGAAGTGGCAGAGAGAAAGATCTCCGACAAAGAACCACAGCTGCGAACTTCCCATCCCAAAACCAAAAAGAAAGGCTGTCTGTACCTGTCGTCTCCTGTATGACCCAACAGCTGCCAAGATAATCCACTATGATTGTTTAAAAAAATAATCCCATCATTACTAAAATGATGGAAGTAAGAAAAAATAGGCTGAAGAAGAGAAAAGAAGGTAAAAACTGCTGTAGACATCAAGTGCTGTATGATTGGAAACAAGTAAATAAGAGATGCAAACCAGAAGATTAAAGGAGTAAAACCCCATTCATAACTTAGCAATATCTAAACTCTCAGCAAAGGGGAAAAAAAAAAAGTCTTAGTATTGTATCTCCATCTGTATTTACGTACTAAGAGAAAGGAATCATTCAGAGGAGAATAAAGACAAACAGTCTATAACCCATGTTTAGCTACGCAACTCACCCATTTTAGACCCCTTTCCATGTTCTGGGAAAGGGCATACTCATCCAGGGGACAACTCAGAGCACTTAACACAGGCTCTGCTCTGAAGCACTGCCTGGAGGAACCTCTCCACAGTGAGGACAGAGAAGCTCACAGAGATTCATTGTCCAGACTGCTCTACAAAGCACCTCAAGGCAAGTGGTAGGAATGCTTTCCCAAAGTTTTTAAACTGGCCAAACAGAAGACTTCAAATGATTTTGGGAGAAAAAGGATGGAAAAACACAGTCAAGTTTAAGTGCAAGCTGATGCAATAGATAATAATTGCTTCGTGATGACAACGTATTTGGTGTTATAGAAATTGCCTCCTTGCCCCCCCAAAAAGACAATCTGTACTTCAAAGTGTTTCTGTTTTAAGAGGAAGACATGAATAACAGAAAATGAGTAAAAATGCAGGCAGGGACAATGCATCATGAAAATGGAAGTGCTTGGGGAATCGTTCGCTTTCTTGTTACACTTAAAATGCATTATTATTTGTCTGGACATTTCCCTTACAGCAATACCATCTCATCACTCATTATAATGCATTTCTATTCTGAAAACTGGTACAAAGGTTATACAGAGCTGTTAGACACCAAGCCATTGGCATGTAGGATTTAGCTGTTAACAGTAGTCTTATAAATATTTTTATTCCAATACAACTTTCTTAAAAAGTCAGCCTTTATCATAAATACATTCCCTTCTCTCTCCCATTATAAAGTGTAATCTTTGCATGTCAAAAAACAACAATGCATTTTCCTTGATTAATTTTTTACAAGGGTGATCAATTCATCGTGTTGGTAGAAAAGTTATAATACACATAAAAGCTTCAAAATGCATTCTGAATCTTAAATCCTTCTTTAGATTTAATAATCACCCAGCTGGCTACACTTCAGACAGCAATGCTTCAATGGGAAGATTAATGAACATTTGGTCTGCAGTTTAATTCCCTCTAGATTTTAGCATTCAAAGCGCAAACTTTTATAAATTAGGCTAATTTTATGCATTCCAATTATATGTCAAGGTCCAAACAGCTTTAATAGTAACTTTGAGGCTTCTTAGTCATAGTTTTCTCTCTCTTTAGAGTACTTAAGTTTTTGAAAATATTAATTCACTCCACTACACTATAGTATTCTCTAGACCATTTTAAAGATTACTTTTCCATATATCATCCCAAGTCAGAAACACCTTCAATTTCTTATTTATTTATTTTATACAATCATCAGTTATTTTGCCTTGCTAGCAATATATTCTATGGCAAGGATTTAACTGAGCAAACAATTTAAGACACAAAAGCGAACAGTAACTTCCCTACAGACTTCCGAACAGCCACACTGGCCAGTTACTGCCTCTACCTTTTGCAGCAGCAATTGCTACCTGCCAAGCTCCTGCCACCCCTGACCTCTGTGGTGCCCATACTGTTCAGATACTGCATAAAGTCCAAAAGGACGCTACAGCTGAGATAAGAAAATCT